TTTACCGGTTCTCACGGTCTCTTCGCTTGCAGATTTCTTATATTTTTTCTTCTACCCTGATGCATTTACCGGTTCTCACGGTCTCTTCGCTTGCAGATTTCTTATATTTTTTCTTCTACCCTGAAGATGGAGGCGATACGTTCCTCCGAAACTTCGGTTAACACCACATATACACGGTGCCAAATCCCAGAAGACTGCTTTCTTCATAAAAAAAATTGTATTCATTAACTGACAGACTTAGACACGAGAACACAGATTACTAGATGGAACCAGTGAACTCAGTTCAAAATGTGTCTAATCTTGACATTGCAAATAAGAGTAATTCATAGCTCTAACTTAAAGGCTGAGTAGATGGGAAGCCATATAGTAATGTTGATAATGTCATATGGTGATTATACTGCTGCAAATTAAATATTTGTTTTTCTCTGAGCATGTCACTTGTCTTCTTATAATTTGTAGACTGTACACTATAAAATGTCATTTTAATGATGGATTGATTAATAAGACTTTCCTCCTTGGTACTGTGAAGCTTTACTAAAAATTTCTGTTTTTGATGGAGAAAATAAAATTTCATTTTCAAAAAGAGAACCACCATGTGAGGTTTTTGTGAGATCTTCAATTTTAACATGAGCATTACTACATTTCCTTTATTTCTTTCTTTTTCAGAGCAACCATCTCAAAAACAAAACTGAAATTCTTCATGAAATATGCTGGCACCAACTCTGAACTTTGGCGTGGACTTATGTTTTTATTGTTCCTTACTGTCTTTATTGTTCCTTACTGTCTGGAATATCATCTTTCTTTTTAAATAAGACACAACTTGCAGCTGCTGACAGTGCGTAAGTGTACTGGGAGGAAGGCCACAGAGTTTATGTCACATTCACATGAGTACCGTGGCTCTCCTGCTGGTACCTGTAAGCTGAAAAGTACAATTTCTAGTGATTAGTTACTTGCTTACAAGACTTGAGCCAGATTAACAGCCTCTAAGCTAAATCAGACATTAATCAGTAATTACATTTGGCCGTTCTTGATTGCAATAGCAATATTGTATCCTTCCAAGGGAAGAAAGAAACCCTTGTTCAGTTGTAGGCCAGTGTGAAAAGCTGTAAAATTGTACAAGCAACAGAATCAGAAGATGCACAGTCTACTGCAAATCATTGTAAAGCACCACTGATATATCACTGAAACATTTGTAATGGGTTATAAAAGTAACTTGGTTCATCCTGGTCTGTCACACTAGAAATGTATATAAGGTTTTTAACCACTGTCCAGTATGATTATATGTTTCAGTCAAAATGACCCTCTTCAGAAAAATATTATCAACACATATGGAAACTGCTGTTACATGTCATACATACATATATATGTTATATCTTTGTACTAATATTAAGATGTACATTGATATCTTAAAACATCTAAAAATTATTACAATTAGTCTGTTTACAAAATAATGTTCAGTATTTGTTTTAAACTAGAACCAGTTTGGTTTCTTGTCCTTACACTTTTGTAATAATTTTAGATGTTTTAAAAAATCAATGTACACCTTAATATTCGTTAAATGATATAACATATATATCTATGACATGTAACAGTAGTTTCCATAAGTGTTGATAATATCCTTCTGAAGATGGCCGTTTTAACTGAAACATATAAAGGATGAAAAATTAGAAACAGCTTCTATAAATCACACTGGACGGTGGTTACAAATCTTATATGTGGTTATAAAAGGCCTGTCTTTAATCCACATGCAGATGATCAAGAGTCTTCTGTAGGTATACAAAATCTCGAAAGCCACATATACTTGGCCAATAATAATGTCAGGTCATGAAACTGTGTAAGACTGATCTTAAGGCATCTTCTTGGGGGTGGTGATAATGATTTGAACCCAAAATGAATATATAAGTCAGTGCTGAACATTATCTGAAGTCTGAATTGTAATCCTGATGTGTTACTAGTCTTCACTTAAGTAGGTACACAGACAGACTCCAGGTGTTCCCAAACTTACATTTTCCTTGATATCAGTAATGTATAACTGGAAGTTGACATCCTCAGTCACATATATTCCAGCCACCTGATTATTTAAGACAGTTTCAGTATGTTTTAGTCTCTGTTAATAGAAATTTACTTGAAATCACATTATTACAAAAGTAGTTAACATTTGTGTATTTCTTCATGAGATAGGGATTATAATTTAAACATGTACACCTACTCCATTAGGTGCATGCCGATTATGTAGTTCAGTTAGTGTGGTTACTTGTAAGGTTGGAATTGTGTGTGGAGTTGATTTCAGTTTGTAACATTCTCACTCAGAGCAGTCTGCTTATGGTAATTGATGGTCATTACTATCTGTCCTTACCATAGGTAATTAATTTTTCAGTAAATGGTTTTCAAACAAAAGGTATGACACACCTATCAAAAGAAACTGAAGATTTTTTTCTTTATTGTTCAGTATCCTTTTGAGAAGGGTACAATAAAATGGTTTTACTTGGTGTAGTTTTTAATGTATATCATCTTTAGGAAAAATGATATGAAAATGCTTAAATTTCATGATATGTTTGTATGCACTCAGAGTTTCACTGTAAACGTGAGGTGACCACGTGCAGTTGGAGCCCAGGCTGGGCCACTGAAGCGTGAGGCCGATAGCTTTAAATGGTTGCAATGGTAGACTTGCCATTTCTAATTAATTTGTACAGATTTCCTAACAAACTCACTACTGTGATGAAGACTTGTTTTGAGAATTTATTTCATTATGTAATGTAATTCATCTGTGCTGATCACAGTTCAGTTTAATCAGTACAGCACAATTACTGTATGGTTGTAGTGTGTCAATATTTCTTGTTCATGAATGGAAGTACAGTCATCTACAAGCACCAGTGTTACATGAGATATTCATGGCAGTGATCATGAGGAAGTTGGAAGTGACGCTGTATAGGTGGGTAGGAGTCCACAAAGATTTTGGAGGAACGTACTGTCACATTCGTAAAGGTAGACTTCTACTACGTACATTCTGTCACATCCGCAATATTATTGAGGACAAGTCTTCTGAAATGTAATGCTCTGTAATCCATCTTCAGGATGGAAAATTGAAGCTGAAGGCATTGTGTTCCTCTGAAATGTCATTGAACTTCTACCAACATACACAGTATCATATCCCGTATCATCAGCCAAATGAAACTGCTGTTTGTGGATGATCTGATTTAATATTGTGAATTGAAACATCTGTACCTACATAATCTGAATGGCTGATATCTGGAGTCATCCTAAAGATGGAGGCACACATTCCACCTAAACGTTAGTATCCACCTATCAGACTGTGTTTCACCAGAACCCTGGTATCCGCCTTCTGACTACAACACAGTGTTATAGCACACAGCATCCCCACCAAGGAACTTGATGATTATACAGCTTTCCAGTTTTGTCAGGAAAGTTACATCAAGGACTTGTAGCTCAGATGGGGGGAACACAAATACATTTCATTTCATGCATCCTGTTGTGTTATTATATACCATTCTTTATTGGAGTCCGTCGTGACACAACAACATAACGGTGAAAGTTAAAGTTACCTAGCTACATGTTTCAACTTTCTAAAGCACATGATTACTAATTGTGTCTGAATATAGTAATCGTGTGTTTTGCCTGACGATGGCTTTAAAATTGCGAAACATGTAGCTGGGTAATTTTAACCTTGACCATTATGTTGTTGTGTTACGATGGACTCCAATAAAGAATTGAACACAAATACGTGCAATATTTTTGTTGGAACATGCTGGAAAGCATCCACTTGGCAAAGCAAAAGTGGTGGAAGGAAGATATCAGACCAGATCTTGACAAAACTGGGTATATGACTGTGGAACATGATGTGTTCACTAGTGGGCTTTGGTATTAGCAACATTCATCCTGGAAGGGTATGCTGAAAAGTAATGCCTTCATAAGACAGTGGTGAAAATGTAGTTCTGTCCTGCCACACTTACAGAAGTAGAGGTATGCCTTGGTATATGCAAGTTTGAAACATGTTGTTTCATTTTAATGCTGTCAATTATAAGTAATTTAGACCTGCTTTAGTATGAACTGCTTGCTGGCCCATCAAGAGAGGTCAGAAGAAGGGTGAATTAGGATGCTGTGCATGAATGAAATTGCTGTTATGGAAAAGAAATCGGGAGCCATTACTTTCAGCATGCCTCTGTCACCAGGAGAAGACATACACTTCCAAATGAAATATCCCACATTGTGAAATTGGAAATTTCATAATGTTAATTGAAATCCATATTTTAATATTTGTTGCTTAACCTCCAGTGGTGTCCTGCGTACAGAGCACACATGCCATTGTATCACATCACTACGTGGAACACAGAATGCCTATGGCAGCCATAACTTCTGTCTCTAACAGTGATATTATATTAAAAGAGCCAGTTTTTTTATAGCAGTTCAGAATAAGAAAATGCTATAAGCTGTCTATTCATGTATGGGTAGTCACATTTTGAAATTTCTGTGGCATGTAACAAATACTGTGTACATCTGAAATAAAATTACCCTACTTTACCTTTTATCTACAGTGTAAACCTCACATTAAACATAAGATTTGAAGCTTTCGTGGCAGCTACATTGGATGAAATATGCTCTGGCTTTCAGCCATGTCAATTGGTTAAGTATCACCGATGTTGCACAGACATCTCCCTCCCTATCGTCAGACATGGCTGATAGCCCAAGAATATTTTATCAGCTCATGTCATAACTTTCTTCCTTTAAAACAGGGTCATGAGATCTCATTGATGTCTGTGTATGCTTCCTTCCCTGAACCTTTTCATCCATGATTGATGTATCATTAAAATATTCCTACAGGTAAGTCAGTTACAGATATGAGTAGAAAGGAAACGTGACATAGGAACGAGTATTTCACAATAATAGTGCTGCTGCTACTACTAACAAGGATGACTGCAGTTTTCTATTGGTAATGAGTAAGTCTTCAAGATGCACCATTTTACCACACTACAGAAGCTATGGACAAAGATGAACAAAATTTCTGCAATCAGGAATTAAATAAAAAAAACGGTACTTTACGTTTTAATGGTTTTTGGTTAGCAGGAAAACCTGATACTTTTGTTTTGATGGCCTTCGGTTATCAGGAAAACCTGGTACCTTGGATGACCTTCAGGAGCACAGTATTGATGGCAAATGAATTAAATTTAAAAATCCCGGTACTTTTTCGTTTTAATGGTCTTCGGTTATTTTGAAAACCCGGTGGTTATTCTGAAAACCCGGAGGTTATTTGTAAAACCCGGAGCAAGACAGTCTTTGAGCACATTTTGTACATACAGCAAGAAATGTAAACAAAACCCGGTTACTTGGAAAACCCGGAAGGTTTTTCTGAAAACCTGATTGGTTTTTGTGAAAACCCGGANAGCCAACCAACATTAAGGGGCAGGGGCACATGAATCCACGTGAATTCGGTGCCAACTGCACTACTTATAGGTACAGCAAGAAATGTAAACAAAACCCGCAATTTTTTGACATTCAAGAAAACAAGACATGTTACAGCTCTGGGCATCTGGCTGCAAATGTTGCCATATTTCCGAAAAATGAGTTACAGTAGGCAATAAGCATCAATGTTCAGGGGCCAAGTCTATGTACAAATACATTAATGTAGTGCTAAATGCAAATATTTGAAGATACAAGAAATGTATATATAACTGTGATTGTTTTGATCTTATAACCTCTAAAACCTTCAAGAGCACATTTCAAGCCAAAGCTGTGAACTTTCTGATGAGGATTAAACATCACTGCTACAGTTGAACATTTATCTCCTAGATAGGGTATGAGGATAAACTTCATTTCTTCAATTAGCCATTTTTTCAAGCCAACCAGTCAGTTCTCATCCACTTGGTTCATCTGCTTTACACTGAAGGCAAGCTTCAGACCCTATATCAAGTAGAGTATGAAACCACATGATTGAACCTGGGGTGGTGCTGCACAAGGAAATTGTGCTTTACCCCTGGGATTAAGGTGGTTGTGGTCAACTAGTCAGCTGATGCCTCACAGAAGACATACAGAATAAATGGTTTCCCCAGAGCAAGCATTTCAGCATAAATTAAAAGAGTTTATTGAACGTGGATTGACCACTTGGCTTGCACAGATGATGAATCAAGGAAACAGAGTTTACCCTCACATCCTGTAGCTATAAATGTACTCTTGAAAGTATTTTCGAGGTTACAAGTTTAGAGTGTTCAGGGGTTTGTCTACATTTCTTGCAATATATTGAGTCTTGCAATTAGCACTAGATTCATGTACATTAACTTGGCTCTGACCCTTGATGCTGATTGGCCACTGCATCCCCTTCTTCGGAAATACAGCTATATGTGCAGTCAAACTATCAAATCCAAGGCTGAAAGCTTGGGGCTGCGGCAATGCTCTGCTCTTGAAGGTTGTTGAAGGTTACTGGAACAAAAAGTACAGGGTTTTGTTTGTATTTTCTACTGTACCTGCAAATTGTGCATTAAGTATTATTTCATGTATATTAACTTGGCTTCACCCCTTCATGATTCGTTACTTCATTCTAGTCCCATTCCACATGGACTTGAACCCATGTTCTTGTGCATACAAGCCAACTGCTTTACCACTGAGCTAATGTTTGTCATGCTCGATCATTCATCCAGTGTTTGTCATGACTGCTGTATTCAGCACATGTTAAACAGTTTGGTGCAGCCAGTCATCAGCTTTATACAAACCATTCATATTGATATAACATGACTGATCTTGTAGGGATTTATTCTACGTTTATTCTGATCATAAAGTGGACTCTTCAAACAATCAGGCTCTGATGATATTTGTAAATTCACTGCACATGTAGTTTTATAGGCAAATTCAACCAGTACATATGTGGGTCTCAGGGACGGGGCAGCGAACTTACCTTCTGAGGGTTCCATGTTCATGTCGACAGGGAATGCGATTGCAGCTTTTTATGTCTCGAAGTGAAAGCAGTTTTACTTACCTCCATAAACACAACCAACATGTATTCTTTCAACATGCTACTGAATTTTAATGTTTTGATGTTCTGAAATATTCAATATAGGTTTCAAAAAAGGGCAAGAATTTCCAGAATTTACTCCCAATCCAATTATTTTTTAATGTTACTCATCCAACACATTAAAATTCTTAAATATTTTAAAATTATTTGTTAACCGTTTTTACAATGTTACTCTTCTGGCAGAAGTTGTTTTGTATGTTGACATATACTTCATTTTATTTGCACCCTGTACACATTTTGAGTGCAGTGCTGCACTAAGCACAGGGACAACTTTATTTGTTTTTTATGCTGAAACTCATCTGTCTTTACCATAGCCAAGTTATGGCAGTCATACTTCCATAAACTTGTATTACAGAATTCTACATCAATATGATGCCTAAACTGTCCACTATGGCTTGTCAGATTATTGGGGAATTAGCTGCCAAGAAATTTCTAACTGTACCAATTAGAAAAATACCTTAACATCTTCCCACCAACCCCCAAAGCTGCAGCAGTTCCTATCCAGTTTACACTTACAATTACCTCTGCACTCAGACAGCAACTTACGTATCTTACAAAGACATCCTGAGTACCATGTTTGATTTGATTCTTTCATGGCCATGTCTATAAGGAGTTAGGGCCCTGCATTGTAGCAACGTGTAGTTTAGAGATGGCCCAATGTTTAGGAAGAATATGTCACCTCCAAAACGTGGGGCTCTCTCTGATCTACACGTTGCGACAACTCAGAATGCTGTGCTCTTCATTCCAAGTACTAGCCGTAGCCTCCTCACTGTCGCAATGTAATTCAAAACTATCGACAAATGCAGAACACCCAACTCTCAGTTCTCAATTCCTACACCTAACTCCCATGTCAAATTAAAACCAACTGTTATCTACTCATGACTGTGTATTCCTTGTATATGCAATTACAATGTATACTCTCTAAGCGAACAAGTCTTCGGCTAAGATCTTCCATAGGAATATGGCTGTAACCCCGAAGGGTTTACTCTTCTGGGATGTGACACCATGTAGTCTTGTAGAATGTTACCAACATTTCTGAGGAATGTGAGGCCTCCATCTTCAGGATCTTATCCCTTTACATGTTCCTCCAAAGTGGTGGTAACATTCTACCAGGCTACATGGCCTCACATCTAAGAAGACAACATTTTTCAAGTTACCATGTGTTTACAAAAGCCCACTGTCAGTTAATCCAAATTGTCATATGCTGATACTGTATGCAGATATGAGAGCCACAGTTTACAGGGTGAGTTTTGGGAAAGAGATATCATTGACTGTACTTTATTCGATAAAAACTAGTAAAAGAGGTAAGTTGCAACCATACAGAGTCTATTTTACATATACACAGGAACTTTACCAAACATTTGTAACTTCTAACACTTCTGTAAGACATACATGAAAGTGATTTAGACCAACCAAAGTGGAAGCTGATATAATGCTTTAGACTGGTTTCATTGTGGAACTCCCACATCACACTCCATCAAAATGCGTGTTGCCTGCGAGAACTGCAACATACAACAATGGGAATATAGACACAGTTCTGTCACAGAAACTGCTAAATTTTCTGAGCTATGAATATCAGCTTTGTCATGATATCATTACACGCACCAGCAGTATTAATAACCTGGGTGTTTTGTTTGATTCAAAGCTACATTTTACAAACATGTTAATTACATATATTCTGAATGCATAAAGCTTTTAGGACTTATTCGCTCCATTACCTACAGATTTTCCTCCTTGGAGTGTCTGTATGTACTATACTTTACTTTAGTCAGGTCCAAGTTGGAATATGCCTCAGTAGTTCGGAACTACATCACCTCAACTGATGCCAATAAGCTTGAGCACATCCAGCAGAAGTTTGCGTCCGTCTGTTTTGTTTTTTCCCTCATATTCCATATACTTATACTGATGCTTTAGAGAACCTAAGTTTACATTCTTTACATAAATGGAGAAATCACCTTGATGCACTTTTTTTTTGTTCAGGTCTTTCATCTTAAATCCTGCGCTTCTCTTTTGGAAAATGTTAGCCTTCATGTTCCTCCCAGAAATCTTACGGACTTCTCATTGTTTGGTGTTTGCCCCTCTAATAAACACTGTCCTTCTGCTTGATGCGCCTATGCTGCCAACACGGTGGGTAAAGATCTTGACATATTTGCAATCGGAACAGTTTCTGTCAATCACATTGGACTCAAAATTGTTAATAATATTTTATAACACTCCTAATATTATGTGTGTGTATGTAGGTAAAATTTAAATTAAATTCTCTTAGTGGGGGGGTGGAGTCCAACTGGGTTCACTCGGCATGGCGGCAATTGATTGGCCTACTGTACCTCACCGGGTGATTATAATGATGGAGAATTTGGTGGAATGAAGATTGGCAGGGGAAACTGAAATACTTGGAGAAAACCCATCCTAGTGCCACTTTGTCCACCGCAAATCCCACTTGACCAGACCCTGGCTCAAAGCCGGGCCTCAGTGGTGGGATGCCAGTGACTAACCACTTGAGCTATGGCGTGGCCTGTGTATGTACGTATATTGATCTTGTTTTATTTTTCTTTCCTGTTAACTTTAAATTTTCTTGGAATTATTATCAATTTATTGCCATAATATAGACTCAAGTTTTGTATTTTGGTTTTTAATTATTTTTGTGTATTTCTATGTACTTGTGCTGATATTTTAACTGGTCTCTGTGCTGTTAAGTTTGCACGTAAATAAACATGAATTGAATTACTATTATTATTAGGATGTTGAGCTGGCACACAAATAAGTAAGAATTTATTGGGTTATTGTTATTATTATTAACTTCTATGTGTATATGTATGGGTATTGTCCTTTCTCACCACATAATAGCATAACCATTGAAAATGTTTACAATATTATATTTGAGCATCCTGTTACACTCACACAATATATATGAGACAAACACCGTCTTAAGTGTAACAATTTAATTGTAGTTCTTTCTTCTTTTCCTCCTCCACACTACATGTTTCGGCCCTAAATGGCCATCATCAGGTGTGTATTCTTA